GAAACACCCAATCACTGCGATCATCTCAATGAACTATACATTGTCGCCATTTCCAACTCATCCAACTTTACCTTACGATCCGACCAAGGGAGATAGCTCAGATCCGTCGAGAGATGGGCATCATCCCGACCATATCCGCGACGTTCTTCAAGGATTCGCTTTTCTACGCACGCTTGGTCTTTATGACGATTCATACATCCTGTCAGGCCATAGTGCTGGCGCATGTCTTGCCTTCCAGTCGACTCTCCGGGCACCACAAGCCTGGGGCCTCGACGCTGCTATGGAGCCCCCGCGGCCTGTGGCGGTTGTGGGAATGAACGGATTGTATGATCTGCCGGGTCTTGTGCATGACTTGGGGTCATCGCATGCTAGCCTCAAGGACGTCTATCAAGGATTTCAGAGCATCACATTTGGACCAGACCAAGCAAAGTGGGAGGCTCCAAGTCCGTCCCATGTCCCTGTTGATGAGCTCGAACAGAGAGTCAAGTCCGGAAAGGCACCGCGCCTCATCATGATAGATCAGAGCGCGGAAGATCAGTTGGTTCCGACGAATCAGGCCGATAGACTTGAAGCTCACCTGAACGGAATTGCCGGTTTGCGTGTAGTCAGAGGCACTCAATGTGAGGGCCGGCATGCAGCTCCCTGGGAGGAAGGGTACATGATTTGGAATAGTGTGCAGGACATCTTGAAGCATCTTGGGTAATGAATCTCATCGCATCGCATTATGCATACACCAATAGCCTGGAGGAACTCATCCAGAAATTATTATTACATACTGATTGGGCGTAGATTTGTCCACACTCGAGGTGCAGAATTCCACCCTAGCAATGAACAAATGGAGACATCCTGATATCCCAGCTCGAATGTGAGCATACATAAGAAGATGACCCCAATCACGGCTGATTCTTCCAGAGTTACCTGGAAATGCAGTCAATGTCTACAGAGACAGTACACGCCAATCTCCCATCATTCCCTTGGGCAATTGGTCGTCATGAGCCCCAACACCAGCCACATCTCGTGGCCATGGATGGCAGACCAGTGGCGGAAAGTCGCTTTTGATCCAATGGCATCCCAAGAAGAAAAGGTCGCAAAGGGCTCAGCGATGTGGCAAATTGCTAACATCAGCTTAGAGTTGAGCTCGACTGATTGTGTCCCGGAAACCTGCGAGTGGCGCCTCAGTGGGTGGCTTGGGGGACTTCTTCATCGCAAACCCGCATGAATAGGAGAAACAGACGAATGCTATCAAGCTATTTGACCGTTGTACACTGCCCCGATCCAGAACGAATTGATACTGACAGGCGGCGATCGGAGGGATGACGGTTTGATTCGGGGTCAGAATTGGGGCAACCCCCTGCAGGATGCCGATCAGGTGTGGGTCGCCGGGGCCGATCCCTTCGGCTTACGGCGGAGGAATGTCTGGCCTACAAGGGTGAGCCCGATTATTCGCCCCGGGCAGGCGGTTGCAAGACGTCTGGGATGTCTAAGGCTGACTTTGGATTTTAATGATTGCCTGGACGGGAAGTATCTCATTCATTTACAGCACCTTGTCACACACATCGTCCCAACTACTCGTACCTAAGCAGGGGCTTGTGAAAAGGGAGGATTATTGGTCAATTGGTTTCCTCCTCCAATTCACTCGCCCCTACGTCGGACATGTCCGAAGGCAAAACAAATGGACTGGATTGTGCATACTCATGTGGCTCGGGAGCCGAGCCATTGACTGCACTGCAATTTGACGACCAAGGGGCTCTGCCACTTCACGTAAGGCTTCCTTAGGGATGCTGTGAACTTGACCACGTTCATAGCAAGTGCGCCTTGGGAGAGGAACGCTTCTATTGGTGGCACTTACGAGTTGAACGCATGTTGAAAAGTATCTAAGCGTACATGCACATGCTGTTGGAAAGGTATTGTGATGGCTTCTACCATGATGTCTCAGCCCCATGGCATCTTGCCTTATCATTTGGCCTCTTTTGAACATCCATTTCAGTTCCGTTGGATGAACCTCGGTTCTCGAAGCCCCTTAATGAGAACCCCTTGTCAATTCTTATTTCTGAACGCGTTCTAGCGTACCTCTGAAGTCAAAACAAGCACTCCACATCACACTGTTCGAGGCCCTGTGACTCTTTGTGCCGATTGGACACCAAACGACATATCGCAGAAGGGTCTCGAACCACTCAGTCTCATGGCCCTATCTCACGAGGTGCACCAACTGGCTCTACCGTTCTAGGTTGACTGTCATCTCGGGCGCAAGCAGGGGGAGAACTTTTGAGTCAGCAACATTTGGCTAAGTATAGCAATCACAGCCATCTTCTCAGTATGAATTCTATCTACAACTGCTACTTGAATGGTCATATCAGGTATCATATAACGACCACACTTCACATATCTTAACATCCTTTGCTCCAACCGAATTATTTCAACCCTCGTATGTTCATGGTCAGCAAAAGCAGCCCTGGTGCATTGACAAAAGGAATACTTCAATCGTGTTTTGGAAACATCGATATTTGACAAACCAAATCAGTGAAATCCCTTATTCTGGATTCCAACACATCAGTTGCGCAAAGCCACAGACTTCCAACAACAATCGTCATGTCAACTGATCAAGGCTACAACATGGCAGTACCTGCCGGCCTTCCGCTACGCAGTCTTGATCATGACTTCAACAACTGCGATGGAAGCATTCTATGTTTCGAGCAAATGCGGTCGCTGACACTCCACAATCCTCTCTGGCGCGAATATCTTGGAAACCGCATAGGGTTAGAGCGCCGTTACGGTGAACTGCTTCACTCTTATGAAGAATCTTTCGCGTAGGTCCCTCAGTCATGCTATGACAGCCTGGAAGACTGCTAAAACAGGGCTAGAGCTTACTTTAGGGGGTTTCACCCCATTGACTATGGGGTTACCACCAACAAGGCAATGAACCCAGACAACATTGTCAAAATCATCTTGACTCTCACGGAGATCTCCATGTCTGAGTCATCAGACTCATCTGAGAGTCCGTTTACGGATGAAGACGACACATTAAAACGACTTGGTTGGGGGGACATCCAGGCAAAGCGACCTCGATGGGCCCTTCTGTCGGACACGTACGCGGCTGCAGCCTCTACCACAGTCTCAAGCTCAGTAGTATGTAAGTCTTCCCATAGAATATGAGCAATGGTGGGCCTAACAGAGAAATCCGAAGAAGCCAGGACTGAGATTTTCCTCAACCCAGAAACCTTACGGTCACGATCCGATCCTCCTCCACACTGAAGGCGTGTCGGATGACGAGCTCAGAGATCAGCTCTATGAAGCCAAAGACCAAGGCTGCATAGGAATCATTATTGAAATCGTCGAAAACCAGTACAACGGCCGAATTCTAGACCCTGGACTGTTGGCGCGCTTGGCTACGTTATGCGCGGAGGAGGGTCTCCTACTTGCCGTGGACGAAACATTAACCGCGATTCGTTGCGGTGCCCCCTTTTCGTTTCTCAGAGAAGAATACTCCCATGTTGCAAGCCCTGATATCGTGTTCTTTGGGAAAGCTACAGGCATCCAAGGTACAGCTGTCGATTTCGATGGCCAGTTCCTGAAGAGGTTGGGCATTCTCGGAATATCGCGGACGGTGGCAGTCAAAAGGTGGCAGAGCCAGTTTCAGAAGCCAGTTGCTACCGCGGACCTCATCCATGCCTTGACTACACTCGACTTGACCATCAGAGGAAACCTTACAATGGTCAGTCGAATCATTGGCCAAACTATCCGCTCATTTATCCTCGAACAGGCCGAAAAGAGAGGACATGAAGTCAAGCCTCAAGATATTCTGGGCGGGTTAGAAAGCTTGATTTTCGTGCGAAAAGACATTGCTGGCGAGTTTCTAGTCATGGGTGCTAAGACAGCGGGGTCGTGGATTCCGTGGGTGAAGTGGCTACCGAGGCTTGAATCGGACATGTCCAGAGGCGAGGTTCTTGATGAGATTATCGGTACTGCAAGTCACCAGGCTCGAGAAGATCTTTCTGGAATGTTGGTTCAGAAAGGTCAGAGGCCTAGCTGGTGTTTCTGGTGCGGCAACCAGACCAACGCTAAGAAGACTGATTGGTGCCGGCGGTGCTGCATTGCCGTCTGCGACGACGATATTTGCGGCCGTCACTTGGCCCATCATAATCATATCTAGTTGTGGTTCACATAATAATCGGCCAGGCAGGGCTATGTAAAAGTTACGCGCTATCAATTATGCTGATGCAACTAAGGCGCTACGTGGGGTTTGCAACGCAATTATGAGCGCACAGGTTGCGTACGTTTCAAAACATAAATAAACTTCCTTCTTCTAATTATATAAGTAGGTACAAGTTGCTTTAGCACAGGTACCATCTAAACATTTAGCTGCACGCGCTGTTTAGTACCGACAAAAAGTGATGCCCATGATCTAGCCCGGACTTGAACCGGAGACCTTCAGTGAACCAGGAAGAATGTCCGGTGACATTCTGTGCTGTTAGACTGACGTGATAACCAACTACACCACCAGACCATTTTCATTACTTGTGCAAGTTCATGGGAGACATTTTCTTAGGGCGGATCGCAGCGAATCGTGAGTCACATGCGGAGTTTCCTTAGGCGCCGGAGACAATAGAGGTGGGGGACGAGAGTAGTCAGACACTAGGTCGCCGATTGTTTGCTAAATGGATGCTATTGCGGTTTGCCAATGCATCGAAAACAAGTTCGTAGTTCCTTGATCCCATTTAAGCCACGCAATTCTGTCTCGAATGAATTATTTTTCGGGGGGTGGGGGGGTCTTCCAGGCGTGGTTCAGACATAGATGTGAACACTTGAGATGGAGGAAGAAATATAGAGTGATTCAGTAAATACGGCTAGGCTATGCACAGGCGTGCCTAAATATGTACAAGTGGAGCTTCCGTATAATATTTACAGTGAATAAGGGACTGAGCTGTCCTCTGCTGGCACCTCTCCAAGCAAGGCGATGCAGCTTTTTCAATTGACTCTGGGCATGAGAATCAACCGTTCGTTTAGTAAACGATCTTAACCGGGGTCTTGACATGAGCGGCCAAGCTGGTGGTGCCGTTCATGTTCTGGGAGATGGCCTGAACAAAAGCCTGGGAGCTCAAGTCGGCGCCAGCCGGGCTAGTGTGGGTGTTGTCCTTGATGTAAAGAGCGTTGACAGCAGTAGCTCCCATCTTGCGGTACATGTTGCTGACGGCCTGGTGGTGGTCGACAAAGGTGACACCGGAGTCGGCCAGAGTGTTCTTCGCCTTGAGCTGCATAGCGACGAAGCGAGAGGGAGTGCCGACCCAGCTGCCGGTTGACCACTGGTTCTTGGGAGTTTGAGAGCTGAGGATGACGGTAACACCCTTGGCTCTCAAGAGCTTGGCAGCCTGGATGACGTAGAAAACGAAGGTGTACACGGTCTCGCCGGTGGTGTCGGAGACGCAAGTCTCAGTACCCTCGCCAGGGCAAACGGAGCGACCGTTGTCGTTGGAGCGGGGCGAGCCGACATCGTTGTGGCCGAACTCGATGACGACAATGTCTCCGGACTTGACTTCGTTCGCAACGTTTTGGAAGCGGCCCTCGTTCCAGAATGAACGAGAGGAACGACCGCCTATGGCTCTGTTGACAACGGCGATGTTCAGGTACTTGGAGACATACTGTCCCCAACCATCCATCTGGGAGTCGCTGCTGCGGGCCATGGTGCTGTCGCCACAGAGGTAGAGAGTGGGCGCGCGAGCCTCCAGCTGAGCCGGCTCGGGTGCGGGAGCAGCCGTGATCTGCACGGCGCTGAGCGCCAGAGACGCGAAGATTGTGGAAAACTTCATGATGACGATCTGCGGTTTGCACGAGCCGGAGGATCGAAGACAGTGGTATAAGTGGGCAGCAAAGAGAAACTGGCAGTGATCCACGGACTCAAGCAGACGGCGGAGACATAGGTGATTTAATACAAATATTTCTGAGCAGTGAGCTCAATCTATTTCATCGGGAATATCCCCGATTGAGTTGCAGCTTCCATATCGAGAATGGCGTAGCTTGGTTCCGCTCCGGTCGGCCGAGCTTTTCTTTCATATACGACGTGTCCTGCCAAGCTATGAGAATGTTCTTCCGCCAGTCGCGATGGTTTGGAGGAGGCACAAGGCGTTGTTTACTCTATGTTTAATGCGACATTGGGTGGTTGCGGGAGTAAGCTTAACTCTACTTGAGACCATTAAGCACGTTTAGAATTGCAAGGGCTCTTGAGGACCCCTGCTGACCTCGGATCTGGGCGGCTGCTTTGGGACGGTTGTAACCTGCCAAGAGACAAGGTCTTGATGAATTTCTTCCTGTTGGGCAACTTTTGTCCGCGCCTTTGCGGAGTTGGCTCTAGTGGCTTGGCAAAATGGTCGTAAAACTAAGAACTCCCGGTAGACAGCAGTCATCTCCGCCAATGGCGGTGAGAAACGTTGAGAGTTAGCGGGGAAATGCCGATCTGTCCTGCAAACCGCTCTGAGTTGGGACGAACGTGTGAAAACTCGGCGGAAGTTTGTCGCGAGAAGCTGAAGGCTGGAAGCCGCAAAGGTTCTACGAACGCAACTGGCTTTCAGCTCGGCTCAGCTTCAGTCCTCAAAATAACCTTTTGATCCTGGTCAAGTGCCTATCCGAGGTTACATTCGCTTTGGGCTGTCATCTAAGGTTAATGAAGGGATGACGAGTGAGGTGGTCGCCGAGACATCCTGCGACGTGGAATTTGGGTTAAGGATGCGATCCGTCGGTAGTTCGGAAATGCAAGCCCAATGCGCCCCAATGGGTTCACAACGGACAGATCCACTCATTTGGCCTGAAACACAATAAAAATAACGAAGTTGTCAAATATCCCACAAAAGATCTCACCAGCATTGTTTGGGAACCGGTTGCACATGCACCAGGCAGGTTTAACACAGATTGTCTGCACTTGACCGTTTACTTCTATACCTATAGATGTAAAGAAATCCAGCCATCTTGAGCAGTATACAAAGCACAAGTCATACTACGCGTATGGTTTGCTTTCGACTTGAACGAATTTGATTGAGCAGGTTTTCCTGACAATTGGACTCGTCGATGATCGTGATGCCCTTCCGTACGAACTGAATGTCTGCTACATTGTTGAGGTCGAAGTTTCGATAATACTGCTTACCTGGCTGCGGAGCGAGATGAAGGCAATAGATAGCCTGATTCACCGATGAGTAGTTCTCCCTAAACATCGGGAGTAGGAAAAGTTCATTCGATGAGTGCGTGTGGGGTATTATCTCTCGGCTTTCTGTAACTCTCATAAAACCAGATGTCCATGAGTGCTGGCCTCGAACAACAGCCACCGGTACGCTTGCTGCTCCGACCCCCCCGAAGCTGAATGTCTCGACTTCTTGGTCCGGGTACCGTGCCTTGTCTGTGAAGGTCTGATACCCAGGGCCAGATAAGAGACCCAGAGGTAGTTCAACAAGTGTGCCGTAGAGTACTACCTCACCTCTATATGCTGAGAAACGGGTTTCGTCAATCAGTTGAGCGTCAATAGAAAGGAGGCTCGCACATGGCGAAACAACTTCCTTGATCTTATCTTTGAAGCCCTCCATCGGATGCCAAAGCTTATGATGAACGGAAATCGCCACGGATGCCCAGGACCATGACGGTACTTTGACAAGACCCTCCCTGCCACCTTCGGTCTGCGGATCGGGCTTGTCGCAGAACCATACGAGTGATCGAATTGCATCCCTCTCCCAGATCCCAAGTAAACATCTATCGCTCAGAGCTAATTCCATGCGGTCCACGACACCCTGAATCGCAATGACACGGTCACTCAGATGAGTGAAAGTCCTCTGGCTGTAATCTCGAACCATCCGTCTCCAGACAGGATATATTTCGGAAGGAATGCATCCGGCCGATGCTCTCGTGTTTGCAAGCAATTGTCGCCGTAGCGCTCTCTCGTTGTAATCTCGAAACCCTGGAGAGTGGTCTCCCTTTAACCTTGTTAGACGCTTATCTGTTGTACTGAGGCTGCAGCAATCCCAGAAGAGGCCATGCTCAGTAACAGTGAGCACCCTTTTAGAAAGAAGCCGTTCTTGAAATGTCCACCCGCGATAGTTGAGTTCGCTCGTTGGCCGAGACAAAAAGTTTCCATGCGATTCAAGCCAGGAATAGATGGACTCAGGCGTCTCCATGTCTGCTTTACCTGGTCGGCCTCCGCTGACAAATCCGCAGTTGGCTGCCATAGCAGCGGTAGCGAGTGTGCATGTGCTCCAGATCTCTGGTGTCTCATCTTCCAAAGATATTCCGTCTGCCCTCAGTAGATCAGCATATGAATTCCTGCTTGAATGAAGCTTGATTATCTTTAATGTTTTCATCATGTCCGTGTGACGCCAGGGTGTTCGCATCTCGGGGTCGAGAATTTCTGAGTCGCATGCAAACCATCGATGTATGAAGTTGTGCTCAATCTCCTGACAAGCAAGGCTTATGAGCATGTACTTCTGCTCGATTGTCAAATCAGAGTCCGTGTTGAAGTATGGGACCTTGTCACCGTTGCCAAAGGCGATTGTAAGGATAGCGTTTCCGTAGATCGACGCCATTTTCGGTGCTTCTTTGCGCCAGTCTCCTCCTTTCCCCTGAGTAATGCACTATTACAGGAAAGCATCAGTCAATGAAATAGAAAAATTGCATTGTTTGTGTTTGAGAACATACTAATGCATCAATCCAAACGTATCGAACTCCAAGCAACTTCTCGATGGTAAAACTATCGCGATATGCTTGTGGGAGGCCAGCCGTCGCGATTCCTTTGCTAAGGCGGTCTATTGTCGTTATATTCAGTTGTGAGGCTGTTCTGGGATGTTGAGGCCACCGGTAACTAATAGCAAGGTACTTGGGCCTCGTCTGATTGGTCTCGAGCACTCTGACAGATGGAGGACAAGTCGCCTGAACAATGGTTTCTGTGGTGTCATATTCTCCAAGGTCCACTACACGCCGGGGATAAGTGAGTGTCTGGTAGCTTTCTGTTGCCTGGCAGTCGATGTGACTCTTCCAGCATTTGTCAAGCCACATCCAGCAACGGACATGCAAGCGGCAATCGGATGGCCTCTCTCGTATAAATGTTTTTGCGTATCGTAGGCTTGGCAGAAGTCCTCTAAGGTGAAAGATCAGCTTGAGTCATAAAGTCTGTTGGAGAGGCTTGGGTCGTCATACTCTCGTCCTCTCGGTCGAAGAAGTACTGCAGCAATTTGTCTTTATGAAGACTTTCAACAAGCTCCGCAGCATGTTCCGCTTTCCTGCAGCATAGTGTGGACGGGGCTTCGTAGGCGTTACTGTCTTCGGGATCGCCGGAGTTCGGCAACGGGGGTTTAGGTGGAAGCCCGTCGATTTCAGGTGACTCTGTTAGATTTCAGTGTCTTGTACATATAAGCTCTAGTAGTTTCATGCTCAGACAGCGGACAGGACTTCTCGTATTCCCTTGTTTTCGTACCTGAATATTGCTGCGTGAGTCAGTCACCGGTATGCTTCATGCCCAGCTTCGATCGTCATTCATAATCTTACCATATAGATGCCTGCGAAGACCATTAATAGCCAAAGAGACAGTCGCCCCATGGGCCAGTCGTTCAGTAAACTGTTGTTGGCTACGTTCATCGTCCTTGTTGCCGCGGGCCAAGATCTCCGCGTTGAATCTCGATTGTCGCGTCACAAAAACAAGAACAGGCTCGATAAAGCGCCACGAGCTTTGCTGCCTAACTTTTACATAAGCGAGCGCCACAGTGTCACCTGCAAGATGTGCGACCTGCGAATGAGATAAGACACATCGATAGGAACTATGCCAAGGACATGTTCAAGCATTTCATTGGAGCGCACTCCGGACCTATCACGCAAAGTCCGAACGCCTGCTAGGTAAGTAGATGTTGTCTTTTAAAGCTTTGAAGAACATCCGCAAATGAAGACAACAGTTCAAACTTCAGTAGGTGAATAAGTCTATGGCAAGCTTAGATAAGGTTTGAATAATGGTTTTCTTTTTTTCGGCTCATGAAGCATGATGTACCACAAAACCCGAGGCGGAGAACTCGGAGATCGGAGGTGCTTCAAACCGCCGGACCCAGAGACAAGAGGGGGGGCATTCCTCCAGCTACCATCGGAGCTTCAGCAATTTCAGCAGTTGAATCTAGACAGGCAAAAGATGACTTCGTTTTCTTCTTTCTTGACGATCCTTCGAAGACGGTCATGGAAATAATCCTTAAAACCAGGTAACATGAACTCCCATCAAAAGCTGCTGTTACAGTCAATCAAAAATTAAGAGTACGTCGCCTTCATCGTGGAATACATTCCTGTGTCAACCGATTTTGCCATGGAAAGCGGGACCGTACTTGGAATACGCGTGTAAGGCCAAATTTGATTTTTGATCCTCGCACGAGGCCGAACATGCGCCAGCTCGCATCGAGCCCCATCCACACATACCTGTAGTACAGAGATTGCGGATATGAATCGCGCCCTGGCACAAACCAGACCTCTCTGCTTGCAGCCTTTCTTTTACTTTTTGCGGACCCGCGTATTCGCACTTTTACCTCCTTAACCTCTTTTTATCTTATCTCATCCCGCGCAACATCACTACCGATGCCAAAGCAGCAGCACGATCATCATCCCGGAGGTCGGCGGTCCCACAAAAAGTCGAGAAATGGCTGTGCTGGGTGCAAACGGCGGCACATCAAATGCGACGAGACCCGCCCAGAATGCCGGAACTGCGTCATGAGCGATCGGGTCTGTTCGTTCCTCAAGACTGATACAGGCGAAGAAAAACTACCGACTGAAACAGTCAAAAGTCCCTCTCCTCTGAGCAGTGCGGCGGCAAATGTCGCCATCGTCCCTCAGCAGTTGACGAGTAGCCTTCATTGCGACTCACAAACATTTACTGTGGCGCACATGGTTTTCCTTCATCATGCCGAGTCTCACATGGCTGAGTTCATGGCTCTGAGGGGCAATGTACGGCCTATGATCAACACCGCTATTGAGCATGCATTCACAGCTCCCTACCTATTGAACGAACTTCTGGCACTGTCTGCGCTCCATCTATCTACACAAGGTGGTGCCGAGGCACGCTTGTTCAATCACCAAGCCACCGAGCTGCAAACGCGGTCTTTGGAACTGTTCGCTGAGGCCAAGGGCGATATTTCAGACAGTACCTACATGCCCACGTTTATTTTCGCCTCGCTTCTAGGCATTCATGTCCTTCATGAGACGCTGAAAACAGAATACGGAACACTGGCAGACTTTGTGAAGAGTTTTGTTAGCTACTGCCGGCTTCATCGAGGGGTCCGAGCCGTGACAGGACAATATTGGTCAGAGATCCTGCAGTCGGACTTGAAGCCTTTGCTGTACATTGCAACCCTCTCGAAGCAGACAGAGTCACAATCACCGGGCACAGAAACCGATCAGCTGAGAGAGTTTCTCACAGGGATGGCAACGTCTTCAGCAGCTACAGAGGCTTGTCTAGGTGCACTGGCTGGTGTCCAATGGGTTTTGGATATGGCCAGACAGGAGCCAACAAGATACGATGTCGGTGTTCACGCCGTCATGGCATGGCCCTTGTATGTTACAGATGGGTATATCGAGGCTCTTCATCAACATCAACCAGAGGCTCTCGTTGTGCTAGCATTTTATGCTGCTACACTGCACAGGTATCGGCAGTACTGGGCATTTGGTAGTTCTGGATCCTCTGTTGTTCATCTGGTTGCCAGCAGCATTGGGTCATTCTGGCAGGATATTCTAACCTGGCCTCTGCAAGTTTTGATAGAATCTTAACTCATGCCGTGCTCAAGAATGGTATGTGTTTTGTGTTTCAATATTTTCATGAATTCGAGGGGCAACTTGGTGATCACAAATAAGGGTCCGTATCAATAGGTGGATCGCTCAGTTAGAAGATATGGGCAATCAGGATCATCTTGGTTATTAAGGCATACACTAATTTACATGATCGATGACCTATTCTAGATGCTCTCAAGGTGGACCCTTACTCCCAAAACCATCCGTCCGCTCTAAGCTCTCAGCGGCTGTGAAAACCCCTATGCAGATGCCCAGTGTATCTACGACATGCGACACAATCTGCCAGTATCCAGATTGTACTCCCACATGTGGCTTCCAGGGCCTGAAAGGACGAACATGCTAGCAGTAGGGTCGTACTTCTGCTTGATATCAAATAGACGATCGTAATTCCCGCCGAAAAAGTCCTCCTTAAAGTTGGTGTTGAAAGGATTGGCTTCGTTGAAGTATGAGCCAGATCCAGGTGCCCACTTACGCCAGACAGCCTCCTTATTTTCTTCAGTCCATGCAGCCGCGGTCGCCAGAGCGTCTTGGGGTGTGGAGTCTGTAATATTGACGTACGCCCCAGTGCTGATGAGGTGGATGTACGCTGCTCTCCAAGCTGGCGTCACAGCTCCCCGCATCTTTTCCTCAACCCGGTTCGTCCCAGGGCCCCCTTGGAGCCCGAAGATGAGGGATGAAGCGCTTCCTTGTACCTGCGAGGTGGTAATGCTCTGTAGATGAGAGCGCAGGGTATCAGAAGGAATTTCTGTCAGCTCTTTGCGGCCGAGGAGACGACTGGAGATCAAACTGATCTGTGCCACGGGCTCCGATGGATTGTTGAGGCTGTCGACGAAAGCCATGTATGAGTCGAAAACCGTCGGGGTTGAGATGGTCACGGACAGGCCCTGGCTTATTCCATTCGACAATACGCGTGCTTTCACTGGTTTCAAAGTAGAAACCAGAGTGGTTGCGGTAGTGTTGAAGCCGAAGAAGGTGAAAGATGCCCCGATACCCCTGCCGAAGTAACCAGCAGACACCTGAGAGCCCACCACCGTTGTTGCAGTCCCAAATCCTGCAATGCCTAAGTCCATGAGGTCGGGCAGGGAGCTTGTGAGAGTCGCGAATGAGTCCCAAGATGTGGACAGAGCTTCTTCTGTGCTCTTCTGGGGCAGCGACAGGGAGAACGTAGACTGGACCACGTTTTGAGGTATCGGATGAGTGCGCAAGACATACTCAATGACGACTCCGTAAACCCCCGGTCCACCACCTCGGATCGCCCACAGCAAGTCCTGGTTCTGAGCTTCGTTGGCGACGAGAATGTTGCCCGAAGATGTTACGACGGTGGCTTGGAGGACTTGATCGGCTGCCAGACCATAGTGGCTCGAAAGAGGGCCGTGGCCACCCCCGCCGATGAAGCCACCCAGGCCTACTGTCTTGACTTGACCGCTAACGAGAGTCCTACCAAGAAGAGAAGCAGCTTGAAGAACAGTTCCCCAGTTGTTTCCACTGCCAAGTGTCACCGCATTCTCCGTATCGTTGCTGAGCGGGCGGGGCCATTGAGAGTTGAAGTCGATGTGTCGGAATTGATGGGTCCAGATCGATAAGGCGTAGGCACCACTAGATCTAATTCCCTGTCAGCTTCTTGGTCTATCTATCTGAATACCACTCGATGGCTCCATACCTTCCATTGAGATCGTGTCCAGTTCCCTTAGCAATGATCCGAATGTTGCGGTCGCTAGCCCATTTCATGGCAGTTGCAACCTGGTCCGCAGTCGTGGCGTTGACGATGTACTCAGGCAAGCCTCCGAGTGTGCATCCTTGATTTTTGTACCCATAGTCACTGGGTGGAACACATGAGCTGTTGGCCCAGAACGGATAGTCTATGGACTCTGGCTGCTGTGCATGAAAGCTACTCGAGGACCAGTCTTCATTAACTTCTTCGCAAGACAAAGTAGAGGAGAACGGGTTCCCCTCGTAGCAAGATGATGCAGCCGGTCGAGTCTTGATCAGCGCGCCAGCAAGAGTTTGGTTCAGTGCGTTCCAATCCTCAGTCTTTGGCCATGTCGCATCGAATGGGGTGGTTTTGCAAAAGGAGTCTGCTGAGACGGCGCCCAGCAGAAAGATGGTCGTAAGAAGGTGATTAACTAACATGATGTAAATATAAGATGCCTTCTCGATCGACCGAAGCAAGGTCATGCTAAGGAAAAATCGTCCCTTTTGTCAACATGTCAAATTCCGTGGAATATCAGGTGGGACTAACAGGTGCACGGAACCGGGTTGATGTTGTTCTAGGCTGAGGCCGAAATGGCCTTACACGCGTATAAGTGCAGTGGGTACCATTACGAATCAGGGCCATCAACGCATAAGTAGCTTCTTCCACTGCCTCTTCAATTTAGCAGGCGGAGGCGGATCAATCAAGCGATCAATTTCATGTTTAAGTATTACCACTACGTGGTTACGCGTGTTCACATGCCGACAGCATACCGCATCAACCAGGCTCATCTAACTTCAAGGGTCGGACAAGCAAGTCAGCACAGAATTTATGCGTTGCACTGAAGACACATTTCATATCATTCAGTGGCATTTTGAGTGAAGTGACTTTGAGCTGAATAATTGTATTATCAATTAATGAGGTGACGGTAAAATCATCGCTATGACGTCCCGTCTATGTTAAAGATAAATGTAACAAAAAGGACTTCCTCCAATTGTGTTGAGCAGATCACTGATGGGTCGGTTGGGCGCGTTGGGTTCTTGGATCACAAGATCATCCAGCCGGGCATCACGGCTCGGGGGGTTGTTGAGGATTGTGATGGTACCCGCGATGTTGAAGGCTTCGGTCAGATGCAGAGCCTGCCAAAGCCAGTAAACACGATCCACCATAGCGTGGTGAAGGAAGAAGGTCGGGTCATTGGTGGACGAATAAAGGTCAGATGCCTCGCCATTGACAATCATCTGGAAGGTAGTTAGTTCCGCTATTTAAGTCAGGGGATGTTGACAAGAGAGCTTGACATACGTGTCCCGAGGTGTGCGTTCCGAGAAAGCCATCTCCAAAGCGACCCTGAAGCTCATCCTGGAATGTTCGGACGTTTGCCGCAGCGGCGCCAACGGTAAGGTTCAAAACGTTCTCCGGGGTCATCCAGTGCTGAGATGTCCAGGCGCTAATGTCTCGGGAAAGGCATCGAGGGTTGTAAGCGAGTGGGCCACCGGGGTTGACGGCAAGGCCATCAATTCCGGGCCCAACGGGTCCGAGGTGAACTGTCATGCTAAAGCCTTGTCAACTATGTGGCTTTCCGTCGTTTGATGAATGGACCTACTTCGCGAATGGTCCCTTGGTAACACAGCCGCCGCCATTACCCGAGGGAATGTAAACTCCACCACCAGAAGTGCTACCGTTATGGGCCTTGAAAACACCATTGCCGCTCATGCTGATCTCGCTCCCGTCGAACATCGGTGCCTGTGAGGGGTCATCGCGGTATGACAGCCAGTTCCAATACTAGAATACGGTCAATATTCTGGCGATTTTTCTTTGCTTCTGGAACAAATGGCGACTCACAGGCTGGTATCCTTCATAGCCGCACTCTTCTCTCAACGCGTTTTCGTAGGCCCAGGTGAAGTATCGGTGCCATGTGAGAAAGTTACCCTGGGGTAGCCACATTAGCTCATGCACATGACCTTGTCTAGATGGCAAACTACTCACAGTTCCATGGATGCTCAAAGTCTGATTGATATGAACGCCAACGAAGTCGTCATAACGGTTCCTCGCACCGGGTGCAAATCCAGATGCTTGAAGCTTGGATGGCTTTCTCAGAAGGCAGTTCACGGCGCTCGTGTATGCTTTCCTTTCTGAGCCAGACAAGGCATTCCTGATGAAGAGCGCCGTTAGGAATGACTGGATTCAAACACGTCCGACTCCTAGGGCTACTTACCAGTCTTTCCGAACACGTGCGTTGAACAAATTGCACCCACCCCTCTTTCCGAGGGTGCCGTCACTTTCGGCAGCCTGAAGAGCCTCGATAGCTTGGGCCTGAATGTCTGACAATTCGTCGCCCTCAATGGCCAGGGCTGGGCTGGCGCAAAGACCCAGGACGGCAAGGAAATTGGCAAAACGCATCTTGAGGCAGTGGAAGTCGAGACCAAACGTGACGGCTTTACTTGTTCGGTGAAGGGAATGGGATAGCGAGCTAACGAATAGAATCGGCTCGTCTTTGGCTGGGACGCTGCGGCTTATATTCATCTCATCTGCGTCGGTCATTTTCAGCCCTCCCCAGGCGCGACGGGTTCGCCCGACCCGGGGCCGACTTTCACGATTCATTTGACTTGTGCCAAAATGGCAACCAAGCCGGTTGCGGATGTCGGCGGGCTCGTGGATTCCACGAAAATTTCTAAACCCTGACCTTGCCTGCATGTTGGACAAAGATGTTGGTTGGCTCGCGTGGAGTGAGTCTTGCAGAAGCGATATGGTCAAATGGCATGGATAAATCCAGAACCTGGGAAAGGCACGAACAGGGTCACATCGTTGGTAAGCACTAGCAACGACCTAGAGATACAGCGATGTCTATGATGACCCGCAGACAATTGTCAGACGGCAATTGATGCAGACAACTCCTAGTTTCCTCTCTATCTTTGCCGTTTTCCAAAGTCTTTGACTTCGTTTTCGCCGTCGTGCCGCATATCCGCTGCGACATGTTGGAGATGCGGGCGCGGGTCCGGGGGGCCAACCGGCGGTCGGACGACCTGCTATTTCAAGTAAAAGCCATGCTCGGACCAGGATGCTACGCCCCACGACACTCAATCTGTTCCGGGGTTTGATCCACACCTCGGCGCGACCTCTTTTGACTTTCGCCGAAGTCCAAGTCTGTTGGAGCTGTGGCGAAGTATTTGCACGATATCACAGGTTGAGGTTGACGGGTAGCACCAACGCAGCAAGAATGGTCAGATAAGCCCATTTATTTAAATTAAATGGTGGGTAAATTCATATCTCCATCCAAAATCGTCGGATGTGGGCCAGATTAGGTTGCGGGACGTGAGTCTATGCTTCTTTCAACTAAATAAATAGCCAAGGCGACAAAGTCGTAGTCACTTGAGCCGTAAGTCTGACTCACTTGGATTTCTGAGATGCGTTGTAGAAGTGATTTATCTGGGAGAAGCAGTGTCGATTCCAATCCAGAGGTTCAACTGCAACGACCTCTTTGATTTCGGAGCGATCGGATGCGGGCAACGCCTAACCTGGTTCTTCGCTCTTGGCTGTTGGTTCAAAGACCAGGCTCACAAACAACCTTGCAATCATGGAAAATGAGATGCCCGCAATGGTGTATTCCTTCGCCACTCGGAACCCTTTCTTTGAGGTCTTGTCGACGCCAACAGGTCCGGACTCCCGAGGTTTCAAGGAGCAAGCGTGATTTTGCCAACCAGCAACTTAGAAATCGAAAGCCTTGGAGCCTTCTAAGATGTCAGAGGTACGTAAGCCATAGTGCAGGCTCGAGGCATTGTCGGAGGGAGAGAGCCGGCCTTTTGCGCCAGTGGAGAAGATCGAGGCCTAGAATTCGTGCCTCTGCTGTTTTTGGAAGGCACGTATGATGTTGGCCTCGGGCTGGTGGGAGGGCTTCCAACCATTCCAGGTCGCAGAAGCTGGCTTGTGGTTCGGTTTACATGGGCAGGTACGAACTATGATATCTCCCTCAAACCCCTTTTACTCAGGGACCATCGGCACAAATTTTGGGTAGTTCTTTTGGTAGTCGTCTCAAACTCTGCATCTATCTTCAGATCGACACTTCGACCTGCGAAATAGTCTGTTGTCATGTCGACTGATCCCAAGCATTCGATTGATCCGGATAGAGCACGCGAAAGTAACACAGAATGGATTCTTGGAGTGACAGGCACTCTGTACGTTATTGCTGCAATATTTGCCAGCCTTCGACTTTACACGCGGGCGTTTTTGGCCAAGACCATCGGCCGAGATCATTATGTTTTGGTTGCTTCTGTTGTGAGTATCTAAGGCGGTTTCATTGCTTACCTACGTTTTTCCGTGCTGACGGCGTAGATTCTCGCCACCGTCGGTATGGTTCTCCTGATCATGCAAGGTATCCGCGGGATGGGAAAGCACCAGGACACTCTGTCCGATGCCGACGTGACTGAGATCATGCAACTGAGCTTCTATCTTTCCAACATATCTGGTGTTGCCGGTCGCAGCTTACTCAAAATTTCCATCGCATTATCCCTCTTGAGATTCAGCCGGAGTCGATGGTATTCACGCTCACTGTGGGCCTTGATCGGTAAAACCTTCGGCATCAACATTTAGATAAATTACTGATCCAAACCATAGTATTTGTCGTGCTATGCGGCATCTTCGCTTGGGTTACTATTGCCCTCTACTGCAAGCCCCTGGCCGGGTACTGGGACAAGAGTCTCGAGCCCGAATGCTATGACATCAAGCTTTTTATCTCTTTTGGTCTATTCTACACCTGTAAGTACCCGTGCGGTCTTCATGGTTGCCAATTACTAACAATCAAAACGCAGCATCTTGCATGTTCACAGACGTTTGCTTTGCTGTCCTGCCCATCCCAGTCATTTGGACATTGCAGATGAAGCGACGCACTCGAATCTATTTGATTGGAATTCTGAGCCTGGGATACTGGTAAGTCTGCCACTCGCAAATTGGAGAATTCCCTGCTCACAATCTAGCGCTGTTGGAGTCGGTGTTGTAACTGCAGTCTTTCAGATTGCGTATGGTGGAGAAAAGGACGGAAGTTTGTATGTTCTCTACGCATGCCTGTGGTCCGAGGGCTTCGGAAGCCATTCAGCTAACTCATATTTTCATGCAGCAAGAACAGTGTTCAATTCTGGGGTTTGTGAGTATCTCTGAAGCCACGACGGCGTTTTGCATATGGGCTAATTTTGGGACTTGTGCAGCGTCCAGTTCTGTCTCGCCATCATTGCGGCTTGCGCACCCTCTCTGAAACCGTTATTGGGCCGCGCCCTGAAGATTTCGTCGACCGATAAATACAAAGCGAACCTATACGAAAACCGCTACCCCACAAACAGGCTCAACTCGACCATGCGGCGTCGTGGATACATGGAGCAAACAAGCCAAGACTCCCCGGAGTTTGAGCTTCAAGATAGAGCGTTAGTAGGGTCTGATGACACGCATCAAGCGATGATCAACGGCGGCCCAACTCGAACCGCGGGTATTATGTTCGGGAAGCCCAAGTCCGACCGATCAACAAGTGAGGAGACAATATTGGGAGAAGCCAATGCGAAGGGCATCATCTACACAACAGAGATCACAGTCAGACGGTAGTAGAGCAGAAAGCAGGAGATTTTCGGGTGACAACATTGATGAATCTTAAGCCCAGACTTGGTAATGCAATTTATGTACGGAGAATCCAAATGCTATGTGCTTTTCCCACCACAATCGACTCCACTAAAAACATCGAGGCGAAATTCAGCAGCTGAGAGTTGCTGTCTTCAAGAAGCCGCTTTCGGCGCGAATGTCAGCGGAACACCGGCAGGACTAGCGTCAGTTATGTCCTGGGCGATTTGCAAAAGTGTCGGAACCGTGAGCGCAGTGTCGGTCGGGGACCAGCCCAGCACCACTGGAAATCTCTCGTTCCCTGGACAAAGTCGGTCAGTATACAGGAGTTTTCGTTTTCTTGCATGTCTGTCTAACTTACGGAAGAAATACTCAAAGTATGACCTCTTGGCTACTGGGTTGTCCGGGCTTCCCCAAACAGCCAGCATGAAGGCGCATTCTCCGGCCGATGTTCCTTCCCTCGCCTCCGTAACGTTCATTGTCGGATTGAGCAAGCTCATCTGCTGAATGTGTCGGGCACGAGCGTTTGATATTGATGTAACGTCGAAGGTTTGGGCGTTTCCAAAGTAGGAGATAAATTGGTTGAATGTTCCCGCATCGAATGGGTTCGTTGGATCGAAGTACTCGTCGCGGCGGGACATGCTTCCGTCGTGTTCGATGACATTGTGTTTATTTAGCATGTCCAAATCGATGTACTGTACACATACACGTTATTAATCTGACGGTTGACTTCACTCTTAATTGAGGTGCTGGTGTTGATGATGGTATGGAAATAAGTTCATGAGTCCAACTTACGTCTGCATTGGGGTCCGGATTTGTTGCCAGTCCAGGGGTAAATGTTCCAATAGCAATATCATCGCCCATATTTATCCCGTCGGAAAAAGCTGTCTTGATCTTATCTAACGTAATATCCCGACCATTGTGTGGAAGGAGTCCGTGGTTCGCTAGCGTATTTAACATTGGACAAGGTGAACGAACTGAGAAGTTGGCAAGTTAGTGACGATTCGCAGGTTGGGTCCGGGAATTCTCACCATCCCCAGGTCCAGCTGGTGTCCAGGTGAAATGATTGGGTTTCAACTTGGACGGCAAGTTCCTCAATGTGGACCCCGAATTCGACGGGCAGCCGAAGCCAATTGAACCAAAAAGACATAAAGGAACGCCATAAGCCAGCGGGAGGGTTCCCGCGACCAAGAGATAAGAAAGCTGCATGTTTTGCGATATGAAGTAGTCGAATAAAGCTTTGATGTGTGAAGACACGGCTGAAGGGTCTGGATGAAGTTGTAGAAATCAAGTTAGAAAAAGATGCGCACAGGTACTGATCGTGGAAAGCAGATTCATCCATGATTTAATACAGAAATTCCATGGACTCGCGATATTATCGTCCCCTCTTACTAGACCTCTTCAAAGTAGTTTTGAAGTCCGTTGTAAACTGCCTTTCCAACGAGGCAAGTTGTAATGTCGATCTTCGGCACTAAAAGCGCCAAATGGCTTGCCTTCCTAGCGCCGCCCCTGCCCGACGCGAGCTATCCTTCCGGAGCGCTCAGGAACCGAGCTTTCGCGTTGTGTTAGCGCCTGGCAGCCGCTTAAAGAAATCAAATCATTCAAAGAACCCCGTTTCATTTTTATTCCAGTTCATCCCATTGGACGCGTCCGTTGTTGAATAGCCCCCCTCTCGAACAGTAATCAGGGTCCAGGCGAGCCTTCGACCGAGCTAGGCCCAACGGCAGGGGAACAGGTATGACGAGGAGAGGCGTCAGGCACGCCAATCGGAAGAGGTCCGATGCGCAATCAGCGTCTTGCGAGTCGTGATCTACAAGGCTGTCTCTTTGATCGTCCCGCGGACATGACTCTAGCTTGCTGAAGATGCGAGATCCCGTTGACTAGGACGCTTTGGCTCCGTTGGACCCCGCGATCTACGGCATCAGTCATCACATATGAGACGAAGCGATCGAGACTTCAGTTCCTAACGGTTTGGCTGTGAACCGTTGGTGGCAAATTTCTGAGATTTGGCACTGTTTGCTATGGTTGGATATCAGGGCACTTGGGTTCGCAATTGAGAAAATATCTCGGCCATCACAGGCTTCGCTGCCGCAGCTTACAGGTCGCCTTTGGACCCGTTGCCTGCCTCATGAAGTTTCCCTGCCGCGATGATCATCTGAATTTACGCCTTATCCTGGCAGCACCGGGCCTGTTCAGTCACCTATTTGGCGCGATGAAGTTGTCCGGCTTGTCCATGTTCCAGTTCTCCTTTCCCGGGATCGTGCTGGCCTTACTCCTGAACATGTTTGCCATCTTGTCCAATTTTCTCTCCGAAGAACCAGTTCTTCCTGCGGTCTTTCTCAAAATCCCGCCAACAGGCAACATCAAGGTACCCGCTGCGTAGGGCTCTTATATGAAATCGCTGACAGTAGCCTCGGGTCCTCAACGACATATCCTCCCCTCCGGGACCCATGGTCCTTCGATGCTGGGTCTAGCCATTTACTGCTCTGGTATTTGGACTAAATTTCATGAAAGGATAGAAATTCATTTTTAGCGCCAGTAACTTGCTTCGTTCTGATGAAATCACCCGAAACTCGTCGAGGTTTTCCCCAGCTTCTGAGAGAGTGGGTCAGTAGAGGGATTTAGCCAATCGTTGTACACAGCTGGGCGTATGTCGACACCGAATAACGGAATAAGTAGCCCATGTGGACGCCGAGTGCGAGACCGAAGATAAGCTTGTCCCGAACCACGGCTTCAAGTGACATAATCCTAGAAAAACCGATCTCTCCGAAGAATAATACATCAGTTCTCTAAGTGCGGCGCTTAAGCGTGGCCACAAACATGATGTAATCATCTTTAGTGAGGCGCGACTCAGGAAAGTCAGCAAGCGGACATGAGGCCGGACTTGTTGACCCTACAGCCCGTGTGATAGGATAGGAGTGGGAACTTGCAATCGAAATTACTTGGCAGACAGCTCCGCAACTACACTCTTTTGTCTTCTATCACCGAGGTACCTTCCAGGTTCAGAAACGTCGCCCCATATCTACTGCGGCTTGTCTTGTTCAGAGACACCGGTACCCGTGGACCTGTACAGGAGATCAAACTGAAAAGTATCGTCTAGACGCTACGATTATCCCTACTGTCGATCTGAAGGACCCCAAATTATCATCGCCTTCGGCCGAATGCATCCGCGGCAGACTGAGAACAGATTCCGCGCCGTTCGATCAGCTCATTAGGCAAGTCCGAATACACCGGCAGCGGACGATGATCCAGGCTTAGCAACGCAAGAAAACTTGCGATGGCGCGAACCTTTCCCCTGATACCAGCCTGGTGTCGGCCCACTAGTGAAATGAGCGTTAGCTTGGTAAATTCGTCTGGTGCTTTGGTTGAGGTTTCTTATGTATATAATGGTATTCACTGTGCGTCTTGATTTTCGGATTGGTCCCATCTCGGACATCATCTGAAAGATTTTGACATCTCTGCCCGTCTCACCTGGTCAGCTTTCATCGTCACCAAGCATATACTTTCTCGAACTAGATCCATCTTCTCGAACAACGGCGGTTGGTGATCTGCCACAATGGTCAAACGGAATTTCGTGGGTTTTGCAGCCCAAGCTATCGGCGCCATGGCAACGCTTGCCGACAACCAGGCGGGCTTCCAGCAGTATTGCGAGTCTTTCAATGCCAGCACCTCTTCAATTTCCGGCGTCTCTTTTGCTTCAACCTACATCCCTGCCGGAACCGAACTTCAGCTCAACGAAGTAGACGCTACGTGTGGCATTTTCACCCAGGCCGTGTCAGTCAATTTATGCCGTGTAACCGGACAAGTACCTACCTCGAATCGCTCTGGATTCTGGTTCGAGGCCTGGCTGCCTGGAGACTGGAGCGGTCGCTTCCTCGCAACTGGCAACGGCGGTCTTGGCGGCTGCATCCAGTACTATGATGTGGAGTATGGTGCTTCTCTCGGATTCGCAACCATCGCAACCAACAACGGACACCAGGGATACACTGGAGCCCCTTTTCTTCACAACCTCGACGTTATCCAGGACTTTGCTTACAGATCCATTGAGAAGGGCGTCTCTATCGGCAAACAAGTCGCTCAAGAATTCTATGGCAAGTCCCACACTAAGAGCTATTATCTCGGATGCTCGACTGGTGGACGCCAAGGATTAAAGGCAGTCCAGTCTTTCCCTGACCTATTCGATGGTGTCGTAGTTGGAGCGCCTGCTATTGCATGGAATAATCTTACGTCATGGGCTACTCGGTTTTACCCCCTGCTTGGGACAACTGAGTCTGCAACGTTCATTCCTCTGGACATGTGGCCGGTCATCCACCAGGATATCTTAGATCAGTGCGATACGCTTGATGGCGTTGCAGACGGTATCCTGGAGTCGCCCAATCTCTGCAACTACAAGCCTGATGGTCTCCTATGTGCTGAGGGAGAAGGTCAGACAAGCGGATGTCTGACGGTCACGCAACTGGGAACCCTGAAGAGTATTTACTCGCCAGTTTTGGACGCGGCTGGTAGTCTCGTGTATCCGAAGATGCAGCTTGGCTCCGAGTTTACTGGAGCTGTCGACAGCTACTTTTCTGGAGCGGCCTCGCCAGTGTCGGACTGGTGGCGTTATGCTATTTTCAACGACTCCACCTGGGATCCAATCACTTTCAGACCAGAGGACTACACGATTGAGTCAGGCCTCAACCATTTCAATATTGACACCTGGGAAGGTGACTTGCGAGCATTTCAGAGCCGCGGCGGCAAATTTCTTCATTGGCACGGTTTGGCAGATGGTGTTCTCTCCAGTGAGAATTCTCCCAGATACTACGAACACGTTTCGCAAACTATGGGCATGAATTCGGATGCCCTCGATACATTCTACCGCTATTTCCGCGTTTCTGGCATGTCTCATTGTGGCAGTGGCAATGGTGCAACTTTTATCGGCCACCAGTCAGCAAGCACCGCTAGTCTGGCTCCGGAGGAAAATGTGCTGATGGCGGTTGTGCAATGGGTTGAGAATGAGGTAGCCCCTGAAACTATTATGGGCACCAGGTACATCAACGGGAGCAAGGATAATGGTGTCGACTTCCAACGCAGGCATTGCAGATGGCCTTACAATAATGTATATCAGGGCATTGGTGACTATAAAGATCCTAACACTTGGAAGTGTGTATCATAAGCTAGGCGTCATAACACGCTGACGATAATCTACATCTATAGGACGATCTCTCGAAAGCTGGATTCTGTTTTCCGAGCGGGAATAATAATTTGAATCTATAACTCGTAGGCAATTTAGCCATCTTGCTCAGGTATTATGAAACAGCTGCTATCCATGTATCAAGATTACAATGTTCCTATTACTTACAAAGCAATGGCATACTCCCAAAGCAACAAAATCCCATCTCATCACACCTGATTACCTAGTAGCACGAATTGAGGTTGGACTGACGCTGCCAGCTGGGAACAGCTGGCCGTGCTGTGGCAAGCGCCCCACACACGGCGACCGCTGACGCCGAATACCGAACTTTTTTTCATCCACCCCAGCATCCCGACTCCAAAAAATTTCCAGCCGCCCTCCAGAGAAGTTTGGCGAAGGAATTCTGCATCGAAGACACCGCGAATTCGACCACCGCACGACAAGATGGCGACCCCCGCGAAGGCACCCGCCAAGGGACCTGCGAAGCGATCCAAGACCCTGAAGAGGGATACAAGGGTGGAAAAGCGAAAGCAGCAGTTGCAGAGCATCGAGCAGCTCGAGAAGGCCGTCGCCGACTTTGTAAGTGGTCGATGCACACAATCCATGATCTTCAATCACGCGACCCAGAGACTGACACCTCGCCGGCATACAGGACCCCAAGGGCGAATTCACATCCTTCTCCGAACTCCCCCTCTGCGAGGCGACCGCCACAGGCCTCGAGAAATCCCACTTCCAAACCCTCACCGATATCCAGTCCTGCGCCGTGCCCCTCGCCCTCAAGGGCCGCGACATCCTCGGCGCCGCAAAGACCGGCTCCGGCAAGACCCTCGCCTTCATCATCCCCGTCCTCGAGAAGCTCTACCGCGCGCGATGGACCGAGTTCGACGGCCTCGGCGCTCTCATCATCTCCCCGACCCGCGAGCTCGCCGCGCAGATCTTTGACGTCCTGCGCAAGGTCGGCCGCAACCACGCCTTCTCCGCCGGCCTGGTCATCGGCGGCAAGAGCCTCAAGGAGGAGGCCGAGCGCCTGTCCAAGATGAATATCCTCGTCTGCACGCCCGGCCGCATGCTGCAGCACCTCGACCAGACCGCCGGCTTCGACGTCGACAACCTCCAGATCCTCGTCCTCGACGAGGCCGACCGCATCATGGACATGGGCTTCCAGTCCGCCGTCGACGCCCTCGTCGAGCACCTGCCCCAGACCCGCCAGACCCTCCTCTTCAGCGCCACCCAGAGCAAGAAGATCTCCGACCTCGCCCGCCTCTCCCTCAAGGACCCGGAATACGTCTCCGTCCATGAGGAGACTACCCCGAAGAACCTGCAGCAACACTACATCGTCACCCCGCTCCCCGAGAAGCTCGACACCCTCTACGGCTTCATAAAGGCCAACCTCCGCTCCAAGATCATCGTCTTCTTCTCCTCCGGTAAGCAGGTCCGCTTCGCCTACGAGTCCTTCAGACACCTGCAGCCGGGTATTCCCCTGCTCCACCTCCTCGGCAAGCAGAAGCAGCTGCAGCGCATGGAGATCACGAAACGCTTCGCCGAGGCCAACCACTCCTGCCTCTTCGCCACCGACGTCGTTGCCCGCGGTGTCGACTTCCCCGCCGTCGACTGGGTCGTCCAGGTCGACTGCCCCGAGGACGCCGACACCTACATCCACCGCGTAGGCCGCACGGCTCGCTACGAGCGCGACGGCAAGGCCGTGCTCTTCCTCGACCCCAGCGAGGAGGCCGGCATGATCAAGCGCCTCGAGGCCAAGAAGGTGCCCGTCAATAAGATCACCGTCAAGGAGAGCAAGAAGAAGAGCATCACGAACCAGCTGCAGAGCATGTGCTTCCAGAACCCGGACCTCAAGTACCTCGGTCAGAAAGCCTTCATCAGCTACGTCCGCTCCGTGTATCTCCAGAAGGACAAGGAGGTCTTCAAGTTCGACGAGCTCGACCTCGACGCCTACGCCGCCAGCTTGGGACTCCCCGGAGCGCCGCAGATCAAGCTGCGCAAGGGCGAGGACGCCAAGAAGATCAAGAACGCGCCGCGCGCCGGCATGTCCTCCGACGAAGAGAACTCTGACTCGGACGCGCCCAAGAAGCCCAAGAAGCAGGAGGTCCGCACAAAGTACGACCGCATGTTCGAGCGCACCAACCAGGACGTTCTCTCCGGCCACTACACCAAGCTCGTTGCCAACGGCGAAGTCTCCGGGCCCGCGATCGACGACAACGACGAAGACGACTTCCTCTCCGTCAAGCGCGTGCTCAACGACGACGCCCTCGACGCCGAGTCCGCCAACGCGCCGGGCGCCAAGCCCAAGGTCATCGCGTACGGCGACCAGCAGTTCATCGTCGACTCGAAGCGGCGCGAGAAGGCGCTCTCGTCCAAGAAGAAGATGCTCAAGTTCAAGGGCCGCGGCACGAAGCTCGTCTTCGACGAGGACGGCAACGCGCACCAGATCTACGAGCTGCAGAACGAGGACGACTTCAAGCAGGAGGGTCCCGCGGAGGAGCTGCGCCAGAAGTTCGTCGAGAGCGAGACCGCGCGCGTCAAGGAGGCGGACATGGACGACAAGGAGCTCGCGAGGGAGAAGAGGAGGGAGAAGCGCCTCAAGCGCAAGCTGGCAGAGAAGGAGGGGCGGGAAGGCGGCGCGGCGGAGGGGCCGCGGGTCGGTGGTGGAGACGGGGGCGACGACGAGGATCCGTTGGCGCTGCTGCGGTCGCTGCCGATTGCGGGTGGGGACAGGAGCGGCGGGGAGGAGTCCGAGGACGAGAGGCCGAAGAAGAAGACCAAGAAGTGGTTCCAGGACGACTCGGATGAGGAGAGGGAGAAGGCCAAGAAGGCGAAGAAGGGCGGAAAGGTGTTGGAGATCGACCGCGAGCCGGAAACGCTGGAGGATCTCGAGGCCTTGGCTGCGGGCTTGTTGAATTAATGTGCGTTTTAGACGTAGATACCCGGAACGGAAAAGTAATTGTCAATTTCAGGGAAAATATTAGCGTTTTACTCAAATGTCACATGGGCTGCGCAAAGTGATACGTGTCGCAATCATTAAATGCTCTGCCTAAAGGACCAAGTAGAGTCCAGGGGTATCACCAACCCCCAACGCCAAAAAGCTTCCATCCATCCGGTCGTCCCAGAATGCCAAAAATAAGAGTAACGTAACGCACTAATGTCCTCCTTCTGTCGCTTTAAAAAGTGCCTCCAAACCTGATGGGTTCCAACGCCTAAAATTTAAACCAATCTCTCGCCAAAGAGACGTGCCCTGTAAATACAGGTGTGATCGGCGCCATAGTTGTTCACCGCACGAATGGTGATGTGATCTGTCGAAGCTCCCAGCTTCACCAACTCGGGGCTGAGCTGGTGGACGTAGATTCCGTTGATGGTGTCGTTGCTCTCGTACGTGAACTGGCCGATCTTGACCCAACCATCCGACAACCACTTCTTGCGTGATGCCGTGTCTGGTTCGGGGAAATGACTGGCCGAGAAGTCCTCCACGCGCTGGCGCATGTTGATCTCTGAGATGTAAGCCCAGATCTCGATGTCCTGAGGCCGGGCATCGGGGTTCAAGGTGGCGCCCGGCAGAATGTGCTCGACGACGACGTGCCGTGGGACAATCTCATGACTGAGCAAGTAGGAGATGAACACGCCCAGGTGTTTCCCATTTTTGCTCACAGTTGGTCGGCCGCACCAGCATTCACCATCATCGTCCCAGCGCGTTTGGGTCTTGGCGGGTTGTAAGACCCAGGGGCTTCGTCTCGTGCTCTTCAGCCAGGCGGGAGATCCTATCGGCCCGACGAACTCCGGCTTGTAATTCGGCGACGTGTGCTTGATGTCGACGATAGAACCGCTACCGACTGTGAGATAGTTGACCTGGCGGCTAAGTTCCTGGTTCCAGTTGGCCCCGATAGTGCCCTTCGCGAGGGCCTCCAGTCCGGCATTTGCAATCGCCTGGCGGATCATGTCGTCGACAATGTGTATCATCTCTGTTCGGGAGACGCCGGAAGGAGGGGCCTTGCTCACTGCAAGGTCGACTGACTGGGCGATGTACTGCTCGAGGTTCTTCTTTAACTCCTCGGCTTCGGCCCTGACCTCGGCGCGATGAGTGGTAAGTTCGTTGTTCAGGTGTCCAATGAACTCCTTCCGCGTGACCACAATATCTGTAATTCCCTTGTCCTTGTTGAGATCCTTCACATACTCCTCAATCTTCTGGTCGAGGTCTTTCTCGATCTTATCCGGTATCGACGTGCCAAAGGCAGGCTCCAAAATCTTAGCCACCTTCTCGTTGTTGCTCCGCAGCCACCCCTCCCAAGACTTGGAAAGCTTGTTCTGGAAAATGTTATCGACGTCGGAAGCTGAGACACCTGGATCAGGGGGGTTGGTCGCCTTTTGGTAATCGGGGTCCTTTTTGAGCTTATCTCTGATCGCCCGCCAGTGTTCGTCGGAGATGAAACGATAGCCACCCTTCGCTGTACCCAGGGTCAAAACTTCCTTGTCGGCTTTCATCAAGTCTCGCAAGGCATACCAGAAGCCTTGTCCAACGATGGGCCGCCCATCTTTGTCAAGGGTCATATGGACAACCTTTGGCACAATTTGTTCGAGTCTATCAATCGAACGTTTTTGAAGGTCTGAGGCCAATGTCAGATCTCTGATTGCGTAATCGTGCTCGCGTTGTTGTCGAGAGTGCTCCCTCGTATCTCTGTCACTGAAAATGGTGGACGGTGCCGCCATCCATAGCGGCACGAACTGACCCAAGTTATGACTAATGTCGGACAGTCCGTACCAATGTATTCCACCAAGGCCTCCAGCAGGAAATGAGGAGATTCCTGCGTAGAAAGCCCACGCAAGAAAGCACGACACCAGGCCGACCAGCAATGCTTTGATGAGCCACGCTTCAGGAGACATGAGAAAGCTTAGAACTTCCACAACAGCGTCTGCCAACGTGAACATGATCCATGCTTGCCAGTCCATCTGGTCCCTGGGTATCTGCCTTGACGACTCGTCTTGTTCATCGTCCAATGGATCTCTTGGGTCGTCATCTACCGGGGATGGCCTATCGGGACGAGCAGTGTTGGTCCAGGTGTAAATGGGAGCGTAAATCTTTGGCCATGTCTGAAGACGTGTTGCACGTTCGCGCCGAAGCTTTTGCTGTTCCTCGAAGTCACGCTGTTGCTCTTGTCCCACTCTTTCTGCCATTCCGTTGCCAAACAGGCTGTGTTGCTCGGTCGCAACAGCCTCGACCCGAGCGTTGACACGAGTTTGCAAGGCAGGTACACGGGTTTCTTGATTAGGACGAGGCGGTGAATGGGAAGGGGGATGAGGAGGGGCTAAGTGCGAATGACCAGGCCGCGTCAGTCGATTGAACGCTGCAGGCTGCGCTGGCTGAAAAGCTTGAGGTGAATGCACAACTGGTTGTGATTGTCGAGCGGGTCGCGGTGTTCTTGCGTTGTTTTGCCCTTGTTGGGAGGGCTCCGGTGTTCTTGAGTTGCGAGGATCTTGCTGAACAGGACTTGGTGTCCTCCCGTTGCGTTCCTCTTGTTGGGCAGGACTCGGCGTTCTCGCGTTGCGTGGCTCTTGCTGGACAGGACTCTGCCTTCTCGAGTTGCTTGGCTGTTGTTGGACAGGACTCGGTGACCTGAAATCTATCTTCGCTGGCTGGTTCTGTCGAATAGGCTTTGGTGAAGGTGCTTCTGATGTCTGACGAGATTCGGTACGCCGTGCTTCTTCCGCGGCAGCGTTCCTAGCTTGGCTCCGCGTCGTCCTTCCAGGCGTAGGTGCAGTAGAACTTGGAACACTTTGAGCCGCAATCTGCCGGTCTGGTGACGCACGACTTGAGCGTCTTTGGCCCGGCGCGCTTCCCTGTCTTGGAGTCTGGGGAGGTTGCAGTGAAGGTGCTGCAGCGAAGGGGTTTGGACGCAACCGATGATCGGGTGCTGGTCCATCAGAGACCCTTGCGAGTGGCGACTGGGACGGCTCGCGCGGGGGTTCCTGTTGATTGAATGAGGTAGGAGGCATCGGTGGGTTGTTTCTGGGTCGTGGTAACACCGGCCTGGAGGGGCTCATGGCAGCGGCCACGCGATAGTCTTCTGCTTCCACAATAGAATCTTCTTCTTCAATGGTAGGCATTGGCCGATCGTCAATGGAGCCCGGGGATCTGGATCCGATGGTAGCGTCGCCAAATAATGAGCTCTCCTGCCCAAAGGTTCGATTGGACTCGGGCGTAGCTGTCGGGTCTTCCGAGCCAGCTCGATCGCGTACTTCCTCGATCGCGCGATGGAAGGCAGAGCCTACGGTCTCGGGAGGGACAATACTTGACCTGCGAGGTGATCTGCGAAGAGGGCTGTTGCCGCGTGGTTCTTCCGAGCCAGCTCTTACTGGCGGCGGAAGATTAGGGCCTCTGAGGGGAGCTGAGGTAGGCAAGATCCTCTGGTCGCGACCTCCGCGATGGGCAGCTGGCTGGAATTCGGCAGGGTCGACCGATGAGGCTGGTGTTGTCTTAGTAAGAGATCTGAGACTGGTACAATGCAAACAAGGGACAAAGGGATGTCCACGTGGCTGGGCTTACCTCGTCTCGGGGGGCTCTGTCGCGGCGGTGAGCTGTGTCTGCTAGCAGGTGAATTTGAGGCTGCGTCAAATCCAGGATCGAAGTCTGGCTCATTGTCCGGCTCCGATTGACGTCCTGGTTCCGGCTCTGGCTCCGACTCCGACTCCGACTCTGACTCTTGCTCCGGCTCAGGCTGCTGTCTGCGATTCGGTCTCGGTGGGACGGATGGTCGCCTCGCGCGACGCGGGCCGCCATCATCACTGTCGCCATCGTCATTCAGTGCGTCCTCGAGAGCGACCTGGATATTGCGAAGTTGTCCGCGACGACTGTTCCTCGGCATAGTGGAGGGAGCGGAACCATAAGATGTATCGAACCTGGAGGGCATGCTAGGTAGGTTCTGAGTGACGGCCGGGCCAGTCCGTATAGGCGGCGAGTCCTCGTCGGCCCGAGAGGGTCTTCTCCTTGGCGGCATCTTGACGATGTGAATGGGATGCTATCTGATTTGGTGATCGGAGGATGTGGTTTTTGATAATGTGGTTTATGAGATGAGGCCGGCTGTGGAGGTGAGTGAGAAGGATTGAGGATGAAGAGATTGAGAGATGAAGTGAGATTGAGAGATGAAGCGAGGTTGAAGAAAGAAGGCGCATGAAAAAAGGACTCGGGGAAAGAACGCCCCAAAAAAGGAAATCGCGATGAGAAAGAGCCACGATGAGAGGCAAGAAGGGAAAGACGGGAAGGTGCAACTCACATTATTATTTGGCGCAAAGGACCAGCGCCGCGGCGGTGAGGTTGATTGTATCCGCCAGGATAATGGCATCAGCTGCAGTCCGAAGGTCTTGTCTCATCAACAATGCGAGACGCAGATGTCCATGAGTGCTATGTTGAGCGACAAGGGAGACAGCAGCCAAAGGAACAGCTCAAGGCAAGGTGTGAGAGCTGTTAGAGCTGGAGGCGGGATGAGAGAGGGTTGAAGGTTGCCTTTGTGAATGCTGCTGCAGGGAACCGCTTTCGGGATGATTGAATAGACGCAATAATGGAAAAGTGAAGCTATTCCAGAGCGACGACCCGCCGGATCGGGAAGGGAGGGAGGCGGTTGTCAACAAAGAGAGTAAGAGCGGTGGTACCTGGTCGCAACTACCATCGTTCCTGGTTGACTTCCTCCGGGCAGCTTAGGTTGACGGTCCTCAGGTCCCCCGGCAAGTCGCGCACGCGCCGCGGCAGATCGGATCGAGGGAGGAATGCAGCCGCCGTCGCTTTGCTTTTTGGGAATCAATTAATTGTCGGACGGTGAAAGAGACTGATGCGACAGCATTGAGCAACAGCAAGGGGCGTCTCGAGGGGTCGTTGGGTCTTTGTCCCGGCTGGAAAAGTTCACCTTGCAGCTTCACCTGGAATGTTTTCGCGACGGCTGCCCGCCACCGAATTCGAGAGCGAATGAGGCACGGACCCCTGCACCGTGTCCGTCGCCCACGCGCTTAAGCTTCGTGGCCGGGCAGACAGCTGTAGCTCAACGCGCGGTGGGCCTGGGGTCCTGTGTTCCTTACATAAGCCTCAAACCTTAGGTAAGCTGTCGACGGTGGAGATCGATGAAGATCAAAGATGTCTCCACTGCACGTGATGAGCCAAGACTTTTTCTTTGTTGCCTGAGGCGGCAGTAGTCGTGCTCTCGGCTTACCTAAGGCTGGCAGGGTGGGTCAACTCGCGCAAATGGCCAGGCCTTGGAAGTCCCTACGTCACCGTTTCAATCCATGTCCGCCGTCCCACCTCGCTGTTGTCGGCCCATCCTGGCGCGGTCCCTTCGAATATTATGGCCGACATATGCATCCTGCTAACGTATTTCGCGCAAGCGCTCGACGAGAATACGATGCGCAGGCAGTCAGGTCGCCATTGATAGCCAGGAGCACACAGCACACACAGTACGCCGAGTCAGGGCGAGTCGAAGATGCAGATGCAGAGTCGCTCGACCGGGCCACGGTGCTCACTTTGATGATCCGTGTCGACGCGGGAACCGGCTTATTGTCCGTCATCTCGGTCCAAGTTCCGGAGAACATGGCAAACCTGCAGGTCCTCTGAAAAAGCAAGCGGCGGGAAATGGCGCCTATCCTTACCTTGGTATGGTACATGCTCGAACAACCCTGCTCTGTCTCCCATCGCGGCAACACACAGCGACAGACAGCAGCAAACATTGCGGGAACCTCGGGCGCTACCTTGCCGTAGGTACGAATACTGCGCATGCATCCGCACCCTGCCAAAGTAAAGACACCCGACACCATCACGATGTCTTCTGTCTGCGTCGTCCGATCCCTCAGCTGAACCACCACCTGGTCTGCCGCAGTGGTTCGTCGGTGGCCAACGCAGCTCCCTCCATCTCCAGCCAACCCACGTGAAAGCACCAGACAGCAGACGACAGGACCCTGTCGGAGCGTCCTCAATCCTGAAGATCAGTCTCCACGGCACCGCCATCCCCGGTCGTTACAAGTTTCAAGTGCGCCGTTTGAGGCTTAAGAAGAAATTACTGGCTCCGCAGCCAGCCACAACGCTGCAAATTGGTGCCACCCCCGCTGCGAGACCCCGCCATCGAATTCATTTGGCCGCAGAAGATTGGCCGTTGGCGGCGTCAGTCCCCAAAGTCGCAAAGGTGTCGTCAGGCCGAGCCAATTTCTCTCCCACACCCATTGCCTATCGGAACGTTACAGACAGACGACCCGGTTGTTTTTTGTTATTGTGACCGTCGCTGCAGCCTCCATCGCCAGATTTATATTACGCCGCGCCATCCTCTTCCTTCGCCTTCCAGAGAGAAGCCTGATCTGTTCGTCCTTCAACCAAAAGCCTACTTGATACCCCCCGACGGACCGCACCAAGCAACATACACCAAACTCGGCGCTGTCCTCTGTCCTTCGTTTCTCTACTCCAAATTCATCCCCTGACCGCACCTAGTTGCGATCGACGCTAGCAAATTTCTTCACAATGGCGATTGGAACTGTCTTGGTTACCGGGTAAGCTCCACGACTT